ACGTTTTTTTGAAGTTCGAAACGGTTCAGTTCTTGAAAAATATGAATTTCAAAAATTTTTGATAGAATAACCAGCAAAATAACTATTTTTTGCTGCTGTTACACCTCAAATTAGCCTTCTTACCCTTTGGATTTTTTGTACAACTTTTTACTTTGTTCTACAGCTCAAACACGCGAGTACCAGTAAACATAGCGCCTGTACTTATCGCTACGTTTACGACATTGCGTAAATAAGTAAACAAATGAGCAAATCGCCCCCGTAAGATCCTTCCTTCATCTCCTCAATGACATTCGAACAACATTTGAACAATACAAAATGCTATATCATTATCTATTACTATTATATATCTATATTTGTACATACTATGTATTTACAATATAACAACTCAACTTTTTTTGGAGTATTGTTTACAAAATTGCAGGGACCCATTCGAATGATGTGGCAGTTCTCGTGATTGGTTTGTTTATATTTCATAGGAAAACAAAAATCTACAGAAAGAAATTCTTTGGAACGGTTCGGATTTTCGCTTTGATACTCTTCCGATCTATTACTACTTTACTTTTTTACTAACTTATCGAAAAGAGCGATGTTCGGAGCAGCCAAATATGCACACAATCAATTTTAGGCAAATTTCCTCGGTTACTCTATTTCCTATGGGAATTTCTGAGATTTTCTTCAAATCTCTCATTAGTTCACTTCTTCTTTCAAGAGTTTATTATTTAACTATTCATTTTACAATTATTTCATTCTTAATTACCCCATGTTTTTTTTTAAATAAAACGTCCCAAGTAATTGTTTCGCTTACCTTGCCTGTTCTCTCCGTATGGCGAATAAATCGATATTTACTATTATTAGATTTGTACTACTAATGCAGTATATTTGGTTATAACTCAGCTGTTTACTTTTCAAATGAATGTGCAAATAAGTAAAGAATGGTTATATTGAAATGTTTTCTGACCGCTCGTATGTATAATTAGCACGGTTGTCATCAGATGCACTTCTTTGGTGGCCGTTATCATCAGAGCCTTTTGCCCTTTTTTCTAGATTTTCTGAATTACCGTATCCAAAAGGTGATAGTGATATTGTGACTGGAGGTGGCCGTTCTTCATCAGTGAGCCTGGTCTTAGTGAAGTTCCTCTCAGGATCTCTACAAGCACAGCGTTACTGTAAATAGTTCGTCAGTATAGGCCCCACCTTCTCTCAAATAGGGCTCCTAATAGCAGTTCGCAATAATGCCCTTGTTTTTCACAACCAGTCATATATCAAAAACATAAGGATGTCACCGAAAGATATAAAAAAATTAAGAGGCTTTCAGAAGTAGGGTATTATACCAAATGGCTGAGCAGAGAAGAAGCAACTGAAGTAGTAACAAGTAAGAGAACTGAACCGAAACTATCCCCAGAGCCAGAACCTGCTACCACTTTATGCTTATCTGTACCAATTTTCGAGTTCAGGCAGTTTTCAGCTGTTTGCAGAGCTTTTGCTACGAAAAAAAAGCAGAAGACTCATTTTTCGTACATCTCTGACCACCCTTCCGTTTTCCGACTTTCGATCGGTAAAATCGGATTTTTTGTGAGGAACTTTGAAACTTTGCAGGTATACGTGTTACCTACATGTGTTTGGTAACCGTGCAGTATAAGTTTGTTGATATATTGCCAGTCACCGTAGCAGTCCTGAATTCATCAATTATAAAACCTATGTAGAACCCCCACTTTTGATGTATGTTCTTTGCATTTATCACTGCACTCTCGGTCCTATTTAAGTGCCGATAGAAATCGTTCCGAGCTCAGAGTACGGAACACTAGTCGAGTGTTCGAGAATATTGTGAATTAAGATAAGAAATGCAAAGGAATTTCGAGACAAGGAAGACTGTTTTTCACACACCTCACATAAACGACATTTACAAGGACGTAAATAGACAGCCATTAGTGCATACATTACTACGTTGACAAGAAACTAGTAACATTTTCAGTACAACACTGAATGAATTAATTATTTGCACTATCGATCCATTCTGCACAGGTCATGCCTTCAGCTCTCATATGACATCTGCGACATCGAACTAAGCTGAGTGCACGGCGCACCCTGTGCTAGGAGCTCCTTCTTTGTGATTGGCCAAATGAGCCTAACCTTGTCTGAAGCGTACATTTTCGGATTTATTGGATCTACCAATTAACTAGAGTTTCCAATTGATCTACCTAGTAATTTCGTCATCTCGGACAAGTCCGGAACCATTAAATTACTACTTTTCTGAAAAGTGTGGGAAGTCTGTGATCCCGTAGGGATCCGATCATCGAACCGTTCAAGTAATAAGCGGACATTCCGTTTTTGGCCATGAAAACCATTCTTCATGCTGTACTACTATATTTTCTACGCAATTTCATTAATTATGTTAGTTATCGATTGCGCGCCATCTTGGCACTATGCTCACAATCGCGGAGCAGATCTCGGGACCACGGATCTGAACAGGGTCTATTTTTTTGGATTTTTGCAATTTTCTTGCGTTCTTGCTCACTGTTGAATCACCTGGAATTAATTTCCTTTAAAAGATATTTCATTGGAAATGGGATCCATTTACTGTCTTACTTGGCAGGAAGATTGCTAAGGAAGTCAGGAAATACTACAAATAGCACAAATTCCGGTATGACATCAATTTTTGAAAAAATCCTCTCGCGAAAGTGTTCACTTCCTTGAACAGGTAAGAATACCGATAAATGTCTTTACCGATTCCGAGGTCAATCAATCGATGATGAATTGGTTCTTGAAACTGATCAGAAAACTATGTGAAACCGTTCCTTTTAGAAAAATGATGTACGAGTCGAGTCTCCATCATCAACTGAACCATTCCGCAATAAAGTGCCAAGGGCATGGCGCATTCGAAACAGTTTGCTCGTCATCAAAATGATGCAATTTTTGCTGAATTCCACATTGCTTTCGCAACATTTCATGGACATAGCAGTGATGACACCTCACTACAGACCACACACACAATCGCCACCTGCTGCTCAACATGGGTGGTCATCAGTGATCAATGATCTTAGATCTATATCAAGCGTTCAGTGTCTCACATCACTACTGGCGTTCGGTGTAAATACGCGGGATGGGGGGGGGGCTGCTGGCGTTATGCGTGTGGTGTTTGTGATGGCGTTCATCGGTGAATACACAACTGTCACTATTGCTGTCACTAGTTTTCCTTACTGAACCTTCATCTTACTTTCGTAATCACTTTTTATCCCATTGCCCCTTTTACTCTTATTTTGTCTGATATGCCGTTTTTCTGCTTTATCCCTCGTTTTTGTTGTCCCGTAAACATACATTTGCCATCCTCGTCGTCTTGTCCGTTCACAACTTTCTAGTGTTTTCTAAGTTCACACCTTTACGAGCCGTACGGTAGACCGCTCTATTGTCTCCAACTCATCACTCTCGAACTGCATGAGGTGAATACCGGTAGTGTTACTCGCTAAGACGACCCGCTAGTAAACAAGGTTGCAGTAATCTACCTACCTGACCTTTTACCTCTTCCGTTTTCTGGATGAACGGCCAAAGTCTGATGGCTCCAGTTTCATGAGCAAGGTTGCCTCAACGTGGTGATCGCTTCTCCGCTCCGTCTCGGCAGTCATAATCATTCATTACCGGCTACCTTTTCTGATCCGTCCTGGAACTGTTCGATATTGATTGGAACTCTTAACTATCTTCAACAAAAATTGAGTTTTTGCGATTTTTATGAAGGACAAAAATCGTCCTAATTCATCACAATTTTTCGGTAAGCGAACTGACCATTGAAAGTGGTACTTTACGCCCTCTGGATCACGAAATCACTCCCATCTGAGATATTTCCCGTTTACAGCTACCGAGGGTCAGCTGGTCATGCTGGATGAACCCTCAGAATTCTCTTCCTTCTCTCGAACGGCCGTTTCTCACACGCCATACTGCGCTCCTTCCCATTAAAGGCTGAATGGCAATTCAGCTCCTTTTCATGTCCGAATTCACATTTGCATGTCATGTCGTGTTTCCGTGTATGTGATGATGATGATTCGTTCGATTGTAATTTCCGTTTTTCATGTCCTTTCATTGCACTTACTCCGTATTGTACTGGTAACTAACCTGATCACTGCGTGAAATCATCAAATTGTGCGTGTGATCACGCCTAACCGTTCACTACTTGAACGTTCTTTCATTACCGTAATTTCATGTTTGGGATATCGCTGCAGGACTATAAATTATTCGTCTTCGAATACTTTGGAACTTTGTCATCACTAAGGACAAATCACAACAGATTCTATGAGATCGAATTTCATCACGATTTCGTCCTTTGTGATGTTCACGTTTTTTTCGAGCCTGTTTTACGAGTTTTACGACCTCTAGGCACTGGTTCAGTTGCCACTTACATGAAATCGTGCCCATACGGACGTTTGGTCACGTCACGCTCGTCATCATGATCCTGGTGACGTTTGCCTTTTTCGTGCTCATTGCACGTACATACTTTTGGCATAATCGAGATCTTATCAATCGATAATCGATGACCTTATGCCATCGCGGTTAAACAAATTGATAAGATATTCCTACACGAAAGTAGTTGATATAAGTCAATGTGCATTACTTTTACGATCTTTTGCAATAAAAATAGGATATCGATTGATACGGCGGTCACCGCCTGTGGCCGATACGGTTGACCGTAATCCCTAGCAGTATAGTAGAATGGATCGATTTTATTGCTTTCCGATTTCACATGCTTATCTCGTGGATTGATTAGATGATCATACATCACATTTATACTAAGCGAGTTTATCGAACAGGTTTCTTCGTATATCTCGTTCTTGTATGTCCGTATATCACGTAATACCATCACTATTGTATATGTATTTGTGATTCTAGCGTTTTCGTCATCCCATGTCAACTTCTTCTTCTTCACTACCGTATCTCAACATCATCTTCTGATCTGTTGATATTGATGAAATCAATTTATCGACTGGATTGATGAGGAGATGCCTCATTTCAGAATGGCCTCCACAAATGTTGACGACGACATTGATACCCGAGATTCGCTTGAATGTAAGTATCCAAACCTCATCCATACTACTCTTTGAGAATGTTACTGTGTAGTGATAATCAAAGATACCACGCTATCATAGTAGTTAGCATTGGTAGTTATTTATTCAGATTTTAATTTTACTAGTAAATGGGCGTATTTCGATTTTCCATGTTCTTCTTATCCTGTAAGTTTTCAAGTTAAACGTTTGCCATTTAATTCTCACAAATTTCTCACTCGAATGTACGAAAAGTAGGAGCAGCATCGTTTATTTTCCTCTGAAGTGATATGAGCCAACGTTCCGGTTTCCGCCTTCCGGTTTCTAAAAGTTTTTCATGATTTCTCCATTCATGCTGGCTTGTTGTTGATATTTTTTTAAGTTCGCGATTCTATCCAAAGCACCTTCAAAGTTATCTAGAGCCTCAAAAAATTTTTTATTATTTGTAGTGTTTCCGGGATCTTGGACCTTCTTTTTTTCAATTTTTTTTTTGACGTTAGAGCGATTATGCTGCGAATCCCTCTCATACAAAGTTTTTAAGAGATATTACAGGAAACAATGATCGGTAGCTATTCGAAAAATGAATAATCATTGTTGCCGATAGAGCGCATGTGACGCAGCGGTAGGAGGCGCCGCTAGTAGAAACGTGGTCGCTGGAACAAGCCCGTAACCCGCTTAAGCCAGCCATATCGTTCAACCATATGAGGGATAGGGATTCTGGGCTGATATTACTTATTCGCTAGGAAGCCACAAATGGTACTACTAATGTTCAGGACAGGAGCATAATCAGTCTCCTACTTTTTCGTAACTGTAAGTTCATCGAATGACCAAATTCGATTAGGTTGTTCTTTTTCATACTGTTGTATCACCAGCAGTAAAATTTGTTATCGAGTTAGCCGTAATAGGAAATCAATTGCCATCAAGTGACCCACGGTTTCGCCCTGAAAATCGCCCTCACTTTCGGAGTGCTCCCAGAACAATTGGGTGCTGGGGAGTTTCGATAATTTAGCGATTCTAGTCAATATTACAATTAATCTCCTGATGAAAAGTAAAGTTTTTATAATCGGATTTTTGTTGGCGATTCGAACGCGATAAGGAATGACCTCAATTGATCATTCTGTCAGTCGGTATGTGCATACGTGTGGGTGTGTATGTGTGTGTGGGAGAGAGTAAACAGTTAAAACTCTTGGTCACAGCTAGAAATGAGAGATGCCGTAGAGAAAACCTGAGCGAACTGATAATGCGGCCTATTTATCTACTTGTTTACCTGTTTGTTCAACTATCAGGGCTGCAACCGTTTGGACAAAGATCACTCGATAGCGTGGTGATGATAATCAATCGCGTTCCGTTTATGACTAAAAACTGAAAAGTGAATGAGAGATCGATTCAACGGAATGATGGCAAAAGGCAAATAGTCTAAAGTGGTTAGCGAGCCTACCAAGATGCGCCATGCAATTAACAATCTTTCCGCTGATAATTTGTCTTTTGCCCACACGGAACTTTCTTCCAATAGGATTTGAAGGAAAGGTACATCTAGCTTCTGATCTTTGTTGATTGTAATATCCAGGATGATTTTAGAGGGTTATTCGTCCAGAAAGTACTTCTGAGAAATTGCAAGTCCGTGCTGCTCGAACCCTTGTTCTATGCTATTCATATTCTCGCTTCGTTTCGAGAGTTCTTGTAGAGAATCGCTCTATCCTTTCACGAATCCTTTATAAAAATCTACGGTACTATCTAGGCAGCCGTAGAAAAGAGGAGGAACCGGCTCGGCATGCGTTCCTCGGAAAAGAATCTTCAGGGATGCGCCATGCTTACTGCTATGGCTCTCTATCATGTTGCCTTTTGAAGGACGGCCCGGCCTATACAGCGGCATGCTCCATAGTCTTGGCGCTACCTTAACATTCACTTTTCGCCTTTCAATCCGCTGTGACAATAGTTAAATAAACAAATAAATAAATGCTAGCGATATATATGGAAAGACAATGAGGGTAGTGTACAGTGCTGCAAATTGAAATGCAAAATACAATTACATAATTACTGCGTGTAACTTTTTTTTTGGTGTTGACTAGTTACCTGTTCTTATCATGATCACTTTTTTCAATTTATTCGGGTTGCGTGCGGTCTGATTGTTGATTACCAACTGAATTGGCATCTTAAAATTGATAAGACTGCCATGATATGTTTTTAGAGTTAAACATACACCACATTGTCATATTTCAGTGAATTCATCGCTGGCTGAAAAGGACTCGCTTGCGTGCATTGTCTGTGGGGACGTGGCCACTGGTCGACACTACGGTGCTATAGCATGTAACGGCTGTAAAGGTACTACATTACTGGTAAATCCGATGTTGAATCACTAAATAAGCTTGGCCAACAGGGAGTGTAGTAGCAAAGTCACAAATTTATTATGAAATCTTACTCGGCTGAGAAGTAAACAATTTACTGGGGCAGGGATTTACCGTAGGGCCTTGTGGACGCTCTTGTAAACCTAGCACTGGGAGCTGCTTCTTATGTAAAAATGCTTGAAATCGCTACAATGAGCAGAGTAGTGTTGAAAAAGTTCTATACAGCAAGCAGATTTTGCTCGAAAGACCCTAATTGACAGGTGTGGGGAACTCCGCCTATTGCAGCGAGTTCCTTTTCTCAAAAGAGGAGGAATATATAGCGCTATACTATGCCGCTCATTGACCTGCACTTTTATGGAATTTCAGCAAATCGTGGTTTTAAGTATAGAAAACCTTTTGGAATCATACGAGGGATTACTTAAGTTGAAAGGTGGTTGCATGCTTATGGGAATTTGCGGTCTCGGTGGGGTCCCACGGCATTTTGCATTTTATGAATTTCCTTCTTCATAGCTATCAGTTTGTTCAGTTATTTGCTCATATTATATTTATGGCTTTTGAAAAGGATTTGAGAACGTTCTGAAATGTTTTTCGGTTTTCTTATCGCTTTGAGACTTCTGAGCAGACAGGCAACTAATCTTTAGTGAACCAGTCTTGATGGTTACTTATCGTGACGGCTGTCCTGGAATTCTTCCGTCCTACGCGTGTATGTGATATTTTTACGGTGGCAATAGTCGTAAACGCGAGGGTTACTATCTACACAAACAATACTGTCATAGAAAGATAACAAAGGGGTCATCTTATCAATGTGCGAAGGGAAACAACAACTGGTAGCGTCATAAGTAAGGGATAGCTATAATATGGTTTTTTATTTTTCCTCGACATGTCAAGTCATATGTTGTTCTGCATGGGCTCTTGAAGTAGTTTCATCAGACTTCAAATCATAATTGGTTTTTTAGAAGATCCCAGTACCAAAAAGTCGCTGACATACCTGAATCAGGCTTACATGTGCGGCCGCGGCGCAGCCGCACGCATCAGTTCTTGTTCAGTATCACCACGGGTGATCAAAGAATGCCTTTAAAACGCTTACATAGAGCGTTTTGGATTTCAGTCAAATTTTTATCCTATCTTCACTATTCAGGATTTTTCCGTCGTACCATTCGTCGTGGTTACAAGTATACGTGCAGGTTCAAATCTGAATGTTTTATAGACAAACGTGAGTTTCCAATCATTTTTGTACTGCACGCTTGTTCCGTTGCCATTTTTACTCTTTATTTATTGATGTTTTCCTATTAATTTAATGTTTTTAACTTTTTAAGTTGCCCTTGTCAATGACTTTTGTAGAGAGTTTCGTTTATTATCTTTGTAGATAACTGTAAAGTAAAGTAAATAATTTTACATAGAAGAGAGGCGTATTTTTCTTTGCCAAATCATTTGTCTCACTTCTATATTAAACATTTGGACTATCTCATTACTTACATTTTCGGTGTCCGCTTTCCGGTTTTCCTTTTTTATAAGTCCATGATGTACCAAAAAGAGCGCTATCTTACTGACGTCCCAGGAGAAAACTAGTGTATGCCGGGGGAAACTGTTAGGTCATAGTGACGGTCTGGACGGATTTCAAATATGATAGAACTAATTGTGTAGCGAAAAATAACCTTAAAGAGTAATCGCATGTTGTTGATACCAACCAAGACATGCATTTACTCTGAAGTAATGGTGACATATGTGGTGAAGAGACTCGATTTTTTTTCATAGAATTCATTTTTATAGGCGGTTTACTCGTTTTTTTCCAGATAACCGAGCCGTTTGTCGATTTTGTCGATATACGCGATGTATCCGAGCTGGTATGCGAGTTGAACAAGTGCAGAACGAAAGAGATGTAATCGGAAAGCGAATTAGAACGGGCAGCATCTGCGCAACAAATAAACCTCATATCAAAAGACATCAAAGTGCTGATGAAGGGTATGTAATTACTCTCGAAGGCAATCTGTCTGATAAATTGAATGCGAAGAGCTCGGTGCCGGAAAATCGCAGGTGCGGGTTCGACTTCCGGAGAGGCAAAAATTTCGCCCACAACGTGTCATCTTTGTAAATGAAGGACTTCTAGCTAGTTGACTAAAGTGTTTCATGCCGAACCAGCACAAGAATTAGAGGTTTAAAGAACAAAAGCATTGGCCTATGGGCCTATACTATTGCCTATCATATTGAAGTGCCCAAACGACTCCTTTCATCGCGATTCATCAGCCTTTCGTGATGGAACCTAACGGAAAATGTTTGTAGGTAACTGCCTAGATATAGGAATGAACCGGAACATCATTGAAAGCTGGGCTAGTGAGGCGGACTTCGTGACAAGCGCAGTCTGGCTCAAGGAGAGAAAGTGGAACTAGATCGAGCTCGAATTTTTGTCCTTATTCACCTCATACTAACCCAAAAATGAACTGTACCAGCGGGAACATTGAACTGCAAGTTTTAAATAGTTTCTAATGAATTGACGAGAACTTAAGCTCAGTTCTTGAACATTTCGTCGTTCATTTATTTCACCTGAAAACCGCCTTTGAGCTACTTGCCAGCGTTTTTTAAAAGCCTAACCATCGTTCTTCGAATAAAGGCATATTCCGTCTTCAGATCATCGAAACGGTCATCACCAGAAATCACCGGATCCCCAGAGGATGTATGGGATTGCCCGGAAACCTTGATTGGAGCGTTATTAAAATCGGAAAAGACAATCAACAGCCTGCGTGATTCCGTCATCAAACAAACGGGAAACGTCGAGTACTCCATAAAACCTGAGGAACCTGTAAGTATTTTGAGTTGTTGGCCACAGCTAAGCGATTTTNTTTTATCGCGAATTCCAACTACAAATAGAGATAGCTCTGCTAATCTTGTTTCTCTTCCTCATAATCCCGCTGATGGAAGGTGAAGGTGTGTTGGAGCATGCAATAGCGGTCGAGCATATTTGCTTGTTCGCATACCGTATGCCTTTATTCATGTTACATTGTCAAATTACTGAAAACCCTTCTCTTTTGTGAGCCTAGTGATTCATTGTTAATTTTCGAAATTTTCATAGGGACTCTGATAGCCACGGTGCGTTGCGGTCGCGTTGCGTCACTCGCGTTTGCTAGTTGCCTTATTCTTTTTCTTCTTTACTTTAGACTGTTTATTATAGTTGACTGTTCTCCATCATATTTGTGTTGTCACTCGGGTATCCCTCAGATTGAAGAGATCCTTTAACGACTCAGTTTCAAGCTTATTCCTCCACTCTTATCCCTACACTACTTACTTCTTTTGAGACTAGAAGATCGAAGGTTCTTAAGTACTCCCGGCAGGCCTGATATGATGCTTCCAGCAGTCGTGTTCATCTGGAGCAAGGACAGCGACAGTGAACGACATCTTCAAATCCCTTCATAGTCAATTGTTACTAGTCATCGAATGGGCCAAGACGCTTCCACCGTTCCTCACTCTCTCCACAGCAGATCAAGTAAGCCGATTTTTTTAGACAGCAATCGGGGCTTTTATTCAGTTGTTTGAAATAACTGCTGTATCGCAATAAGTACATAATACATAGTGGTACCCTGTGAAAAGTCAACTTTAGCATAACACAATTATAACACTCTGTCAGGGTATAGCATATTTCTTCGGGAGCATTATCGACTTCCGATTTCCGGCTCGGCATGTTTAAGTTTTCCTTTCATGTCTTATCTTTAGAAGATCATGCATAAGCCGGAAATTGAAAATTTCTGAAAATAACGTTATTTACTGAATATTGAACACCGTATTCAATGCGATGTGAAGGTCTGCTAAGCGTGGCTGAGATACATTTATTTTACTTTTAAGTACGCAGAGAAGTTTCCGCTAGTACAATGGATTCCCTTGGAAGAAAAATAATTTCTTTTGTGTTTTCCTGCTTATATTCCTAGTGCACACTTACAGACGGCGCTGTTAAAGAACTTCGCTCCTCAGCATGTCGTTCTTTGCGTTTCATATCGTTCCAAGGAAGGAGCTGATTTTCTGAAGCTGATCAACGACAGTTTCATACCTAGACCGTCGAAAGAGGAGCAGGACAAGAGGGACAAGTGCGTTCTTTTTAGACTAAACAATCTAGGAAAACCATATCTCGTAGTCTACGGAGTCGGGGAATTCGAGACTGTTGGTATCACATCCACACACGTGGGAAGGGATGACTGTAGCACGAAATCCGAGAACTCCGAGATCTGAGTGGTCGTACCGAAGGGCTAGCCGTTCAAACTTCCAGTTGTTTAGTGAATTCTACCTACGAGATTGTGAGCGTGTCATGGATCAAATGGTTGCTCCAATGAGATTTTTGTCCATCGATGATGCCGAGTTTGTGACGCTCAAGGCTTGTGTTCTGTTCAATCCTGGTACGTTCTATAGAAAGCTTATTTGTTCTGTATTCGAGGCCTACATATATTTATATGTAAATACAAAATTTTTTGGCTGGACGGTTTCTTTCGGTTTTTTTGTGTTTTTTTTATATTAAAGACCAATTTCGTTTTATACTTGGGACGTTTTATACTTGGGAAAGTAATTATTATCCTCGACTTCGTTTTTTCTATTAGTATAAGTAATTTTTTATGGAAATGCCTCAAAAACCATCTCCCGGGGGATGAGAGTAGAGGAAGGGGGTAATTTGGTTATAATTCTGTAATGCATTATTACAATGGGTAAAGGGTAATTGAGCAGCTTTAGTTTTTATTCAAATTGTGTTGTTCTATCACAAATCATACATGTTGTATTGTGCTATCACAAATCATAACATTTCTTTCTGCAAAGTTGATTTGAAAATTATTTTATTACCTCCATTAAAGACTGTACTGGTTATATGAGTAAGCTGTTGAAACTAAAAGTAGGCAGAGGAAAGTTATCGTCTCAAAGTACAGCATGATTGACTCATAAGGCTGAGTCAAAGGTTCCAACCTTCCGAACTTCCCCTTTTACAGTTGTTGAGTCATTCCCGACAGATACAAACAAGTTTATTTAAGTTGTAATTGAGTTACCACGCTCCCTGAGATCCTGAGTATCGAACTGGTATGCTAAAGTCTATTCCCTACTGACGGTTATGAGTTTTCACGGTGTTTGGGGCTGTAGGGGAATGCGTGGGTTGCTAATATGTAACACTGTATAAGAACCCTGTAATTTTGTTTGGTGGTGCATTATCAAGTTATGCAAACGTTGCTATGGAATTTCTAATTGAGCTCGGGAATCTCTGTTGTTTCTCCCTTTTCTGTTGAGACCAAATCTATTTGCTACATCGCTAAAGATGAAGGGTACAATTTTGTAATAAAAGCAACAAAAAGTATTTCTAAGGGGGAACGTGCATTCCGCGCGTCTGTCGGAAGTAGGTCATCCGCTCACTTCGTGCGCGGTGCAGTCCGCTGCGATATCGAGATGTCATTTCAGTACCACTACGTGCAGTGGATGTGCAGTAGTCCGTGTTATCTTGTCTTTAAGCTGACTTCCGTGGGCCAAGCGCAAATCGCGTGCCCCTCTGCGACATTCGTTTAGGATCGCGGGCTTACGCGTCGCGTGCGACGGCTGCGGCGTGACCTAGTTTCGACGGACGCGCGGAACGAAGCGCACCCATTTCGAAGCGTTTTTCGAAGGAATTTAGTCTGAATCTTCTTCATCGTGAATGGTTAATTTACGATAATGTCGGTGATACCCATGAAGGGTAAGTAAGGAAAAATTTCCAGAGTCATAATTTCAGTGGCAAAAGGTCTTTCTCCGTTGGCAGTAACCACCGTGTTGAATACGAGAAGGCGTATATTCTCAGCCCTTGAGCACTACGTTCGAACGCGAAAGCACGATGAGAGGACTCGACTAGGAGACCTGACCCTTTTCGTTTTGTCTCCCTTGTCGGTGAGAGTTCAATTTCCTGTTTATTCTGCTTCAAGGCGTCGTCACTACCACCCAATAAGTCGCCGAAGAGATTTGACTACTTTCAGTCTTTGGCGAACTCCATTTGTGAGGATATACTGGTATCAAAGTTGAGTGGTGTCGCCCGTCTGGATGTACTAATGGAGGAGCTGATGTTGGCAGATGCTGAAGAACAGAACAAGTGTGCTTCACATCGAGGTCTGTGAATCTGTCTAGCTGTTTTGTCCTGCTTTCGTTTCGCTTTACTTCCATTCAGTGTCGATGTAGCAATACTACAGTTTTAAACTGAAAAAATCGTAGATCTCTACGCGTTATGCAGTACAATTTTGTTTTCCAAAAAATGCAAGATATTTCCCACCGGGATGCCTACCTATTTAGTTCGCTATAGTATTCAGGGCCTCAAAGTCGAAGAAATACGATGGAAGAGTTAAGTTACTTAATAGAAATGAAAACAAAAAGTAAAAGACATGTTTACAGGCGTTTTGGCGGTCGCCAGTGCTATTCCTGGTCCGAGTGACTTCAGTGTGCTAGCTCAAAGTGACAAAGCGTAGGTGTTTTTTCCATTATAAATTTATTTTGAACAGCAAAATTGCATCACAAGCAGGCATCAAATTGCATCTTCGGGAGCCAGGTAGCGTCCGATCCGCGTGTCCCGCGGGTTTCGTTCACCCCGCACGGTGCACCCCGCTGCGATCTCGAGATGGCATTACACTACCACTGTCAGGGCAGGGAGTGGTTTGCATAAGTACATTTCTTCTTTTAGTTGAGCTGACTTCCATGGACCAAGCGCAATTCGTATGTTCCATTGACAACTGCGACATCTGTTAAGGATCGCGGGATGACACGCCGCGTGCGGCGGCTGCGGCGTGGCCTAGTTTCGGCGGGCGCTCGGAACGATGCGCACTCTCGGAAACCTGTTTAGTGAATTATGACGCGGCATTGTCCAGCAAACCGAGCAGTAATGCGAGTACTAAGTAGGATCGTGGCGGTACAAAGGTGATTGCGAGGATTTCCCTAGATTCCTGCATAGATATCGATCAGCGAAAACCCTAGTAGTAACCATATTGATCCCGGCTCATGTATGGCTCTTTAGGAGACTATCAATTCCAGGAGTCCAGTACTCTGGCGGCTGTATGTCAAGAGAGTGCGAAAACTCACTTTCCTGTTTAGCCTAAACAACAGAATTCTCTCGGAGAAATTACCGAAACAAGTGTAGTCGTAGCGGGAGGGCGGAGGGGGGGGGGGGGGG